TATATATATATATATTATGTATTTACATATATTATACGTATCTGTCTGTCTTCACATTAATTGTGGCCCTGTGCCACGAAAAAAAAATGAAAATTCCGCCGAGAACTAATCAGAGTACGCAGTATTATTCATTAAGATAAAATCCAATAAAATACTCATTAAAAATTTGTGTTCGTTAGAATTTATATATCGCCGGCCCTGTACATATATATATATACGATGGCAGTTAAATGAAACATAACGGATAAAAAATTCAGACATTAAACTCAACTAACCTTTTTTAATAATCACCATAGTTGACAAAGTACCCCTAAGAAAAAAATTGTTACGAAAAACTATACTCTGTTCAACGAGAGAATGACTTCGGTTTGCACATAGCAGGCAATGTAACACTGTACAATGCTATGAAGACCTGTGTAAAACGAGTTTCCGATCCGAGGTCATTCTCTCGTTGAACGGAATATACATACATTGAGACAAGATCTTAGAAATTCTTAGTTTCTCGTAGATATTCGTAGTAGAACGTAGAATAACATTATTTGTTTGAAAAACTGAGAAATCCTCCGCCCTTTCTGTATACGTCTTCTGACATTGTATTACATTTTTACGGAACATTTTTTCATATCTTGTATCGCGAAACAAATAATGCCATTCTATGTCTCACTACGAATATTTCACTCTCTTTCTATAAAAAAAAACTAAGATTTTGTCTCAATCTATATAGTTTCTGTACTTTCTCGTAAAATTTTCCGCTAGGGGACCCAATAAAAAAAAATGTTTGTTATTCTGTGACAAGTATTATCGGCTTAATAATTCAGTACTAACATTTAGCTGTGAGTCATAGCCCCTTATTTTATTAATTTCTAATTGTTATTCTAATTGTGCCTTGTACTATTAAATATTTTAATTTTAAATACATTTTTCCTATGCTGTTAGATTTCATTTTGATAAGAAAGACAGGGGACAATCATAGCTTACAGCGGGGTCCAGCAGCACATGCTGCTCGTGCGTAACCATTAAGTACCGCTTGTAGTAAACAACTCTTCGCGCGCTTAACAACTATTCTGAGCGGCCATACCTCGCCGCGCGCCTAAATTTAGCGGTAAGCCAGATTTATTCGGAGATTTGTTAGTAATTAATTTCTCGTTAACTATTGTAAAAAAAATATAAACTGGTACAGAACTTTGCGACTCAGTTTAGTCCGCTCTACCTGTACACAAGCATTGTGTCAATAATTAAGGGATATTCTGTATACATATACAGGATGTCTTAACATCACGGAATTCCCTTTTAAGAGCGGATTCTTTGAAATATTCTAAGACGAAAATCGTAATCAAGGTTGGTCCTATTATCAATTAAAACTTCTAAGATTTATAATTAACAAGAACGAATGTAATTGAAAATCATTCAATTAATAACTGATATGAATAAATTTAATCGAAACTTTTAGATTGACAATTAATATAACAATTAATTTAAAATAAGACAATTTAAATAAAGACAATTTGATTGATAATTAATTCGAGTAAAATTAAAATCGAAGATCACCCAGTTGACAGCTGATTTGAGGAGAATTAATCAGAAGTCGTTTAATTGATAATTGATATGAGTGAATTCAATTAAAGATAATTTAATTGATAATTGATTTAATTTGATTTATATATATATATATATATATATATATATATATATATATATATATATAATCGAAGATCGTCCGATTGACGATTGATTTAAAGAGATATTCTCCCTTGACATGGATTTAAAAAAATTGATTTTTTTATTTTTAATACTCTAAATCTTTTAGAATACATTTTTTAATATTTTGAGACTTTATACAACCTAAAATTCATCTCGATAATCGATTTATGCATTTTTCACGAAATAATATTTTCCAAAATAATTGCCATGATAATTCGTACAATTTTAATGCGATCAACTTGCAATTTTAAGATGTTTATAACATTTACCTTTTTCGGCTAAACCA